TCAACTGGGAGTCAAGACAGCAAGCGTTTTCTGAGCACCTACTACGTGCCAAGCACTTGGACACAAGGAAAGGAGAAGCCAGTCCAGGGCCACGGAGCTCCTGGTCTAACGTGTTTGTACCAGAGGTTTTCTGTCCTACAAAACCAGTAACGTGGCATTTTAGGAAGAAATTAGTTGCCAATGGAGAGAAACAAGGACATGGCCTCTGAACTCCACAAGGCGGGGACATTCCCTCCTACCCGTTGATTACATCCACCTTGACCGGCACGTCTCCCTTCTCCCCCGACCAGCTTGAAGGGCAATAGAAAAACCTCATGTTGAGGCTGCATCTTTCAGGCAGAAGATGAGATGCGTAGCACTAGCAGGCCTCCCAAGGGTTCACTTAGGACTCTTGGGATAGTAAGTGCCAACAGAATTATCACGCTGCAAACCCACTAAAAATGGCTGAGCTTTTTGCGGACATATGTGGGCATGCGACAGTGTAGAGAAAATGGTGAAAGTTGATAGGATTTAAAAATTCCTCGACAGCTGTGTGCTCAGGGAGTAGCATTCCCCATTTGGTAAGGCCCTTTTTTAATTCTGAGGCCACAGAACAAAAGGCGTTGACACAGCAGACTGTACGGAGCTCAAGTTTCAAAACCCCTGATGGTTTGACTCAACATAATGTCTTTGGGGGGCTTGGTTCATCATGTCCCATTAAAAGAGCATTCTCCCCCTTCTCTGGTGCTTTGGAAGATTCCAGCACAGACATATTAATTGCCAACATACCTCCATGGTGATTTGGTGTACGTGAACAGGCTTCACCAAAAGAAACAGCATCTTGGGATGTAGAAGGACAAATCTCACAGGCCCAAGATGCCCTCATTGAAAAGCAACATGTTCATATGTGGAGGCGTCAATTTCGTGGGCCGCTCCTGCAAAGGATGCCATGGGCTCAGGAACCATCTTTGATCCCTGTCCTGCATGGCCAAGCAGCGGCCAAGGCCATCTGATTCTTCAACATCTTTCCCCCGTCCATCCACCCCTGGCCAGCCCCACTGCCCAACAGACCCAGAATACTTCTCACCTGAAGCCTCTGGGTGAGGTTGTCCAAGCTAACAGCTGGATTCATTTCCCTGAAACCCAGACTCATAATGGCCCTCACTTCCCCGCCCCTGCCTTTGCTAATGGCATCCAGTCTGAGCCTCACCATAGGCCCAAGTATCTTCTCCTGCCCTGGGATCCCCAAAACCTATGCCACTCACCACAAACAGCCCTGAATTGTTAATGAACACTTTGCGTGTGTCTGTATGTCTATCTATACACACACACACGTCTGTGTATATATGTATGTATAATATGTGTGTGCATATGTGCATGCGTGTATAACATTCACATAAAATGTGGACACGCCTCTGTACTGTCCCTCTGCCTAGACAGGGCTGCGTCTCCTCTGGCTTCTGCATCACCCCCAGGTGACCGACCACACAGGCCGAGGCCCAGGGCCCACTTTCCACTTGGTGACTAGCCCTCTGCTCCGAGCTTATTTCTTATCCATCTACTATCCAGCTCAGACTCCCTTTCGGTTGCTTCTCTCCCGGCACCCAACTCCCCCACCCCACAATACTCCCCAATCCCTCTGACACTCCACCCTTTCCTTTCCATCCTGTTCCTTCAGACCAAGTGCTTTTCTCGCCTAAAGGCGGTAAGAACGCTGGGGCCCAGGGCACTCCTTCATCTCTGGATGCTGAGCCCCTGCAACCCTGACTCCCACCCACTGAACAGTTCAATGATAGCAGCTGGGTGGTGCAGGGGGTAGAGCGCGGGGCCTGGAGTCAGGAAGACCCAAGTACCAATCCTGCCTTAGACCCATCTAGCTTCCTCATCTTTACAATGGGGATTATGTTAGCCCCCAACTCCCAGGTTATTGTGAAGATCAGATAAGACATTTATAAAGTGTTGTGCAAACTTTAAAGCTATGATACATAAATGCTGGCTGTTAACGATCACGATTCCCCTTTCCTCATCAGGCATGAAAATCAATGATGCTAATAAATCCTCCTCCTTGGCAGAACCTGAACAGCGGGCAGAGCCTGAGACTGCACCTGATTCAAATCCCCTCTGGGAGAGAGAGCAAACAGGACTCCAGGCAGCTGATTTTGTGGTCAGGTTACTGTAGACCATAGGCTCTTACCTTGGTCAAACACTTGTTTCGGTGGTGATTTCTACCCATTTGAAATCAATGTAATTGGTTTCCTTTGAAATACTATGTATTTTACTTTATGCACTTAAAAACATGATTCTAGGGGCAGCTAGGTGGCGCAGTGTATCGATAGAGCACTGGCCCTGAAATCAGGAGGACCTAAGTTCAAATCCGGCCTCAGACCAAACACTTGACACTTAATAGCTGTGTGACCCTGGGCAAGTCACTTAACTCCAATTGCCTAAAAGAAATAAAAACATGATTCTGATTCATGATTCACCTTTGCCAAAGGGGCCCGTGACATTTTTTTTTTGATGAGGCAGACCGTCAAGTTGAATGAACTTGTGAAGATGGCTTATGGCTGTCACCAAACATTTTCCCTAATGTCCTGGCTCTTCTTCCAAAGGCCACAAGGGGCTAAGTTTCACTGGGACCTCAATGCAGGGGAACTGGCTCGTGATTTTTTTCTAGGTCTCAAAATTATAAAAATTTACTCTCAAAGGAAACACTTTCCTAAGATCTCACATTGGTGTGGAGAATCCCAGACACCCCAAGTTATCCTGGGAAAGGAAAAGAGCAAACAGCCCTCATCTGGAAGCTTCACTAAAAACTGACCTGACACACTTCAGGGTGGTCTTTGGGGCTATGCACCTGGCTAATCCTTGCCTTCCCTGGTCAGGCCAGGGCTCTTGTCCTCTCTACTCTCTCTCTCTAATGGGCCAGGCCTGACATCTCAAAGTCCTACTTCCTACTGCTATGATGTCACTTAAATCCAGAACTTCAAGCATGTCAGGTAAGGCATGGAAGGGTTCCTGCCATTTCTAAATATTGGAACTAAACCAAAATTTAGCAACGTTACTGCCTGGACAGTATCAAAGTGGTGACAGAAAAATCCCAATTCATCTGCCCACGTCTTATTTCTCAGGACTCCCTCCCTTCCTAAGGGTTATCTTTGTTCCAGAGCCTGGCTTCAGGAAGGTGGGGCCCCAGGACATCAGAAGAGTAGCCTTCAGTGAGGTGGGGAGCAAATGGGGGTGGAAAAGTGGGGCTTTAGCACCTCCTTCTCTGGGAAAAGCCAACCTGGGTCATCTGGGTAACAGCCTCAGCGTCAGGCTGAATCCTGACTTCACCTGAGCCACACAGACCCAAGAGAAATCTCTCCTGCGCAGGGCCCCGGACTTAAATGTTCTGCTTTCCATGGTCTTTTTTCATTGCTTGGTGGGAAGATGTTTTGAAAATCAGACCCAGAACAGAAGAGCCATCAGAAGCACATGGGACTGCCCCAACCCCCGACAGACACAGACACACCCAGCGCTTCTCAAGTGGCCCAGCCCACTTTCAATGGCACTGTCCATCAGGAAGGTCTCCTGCTTTAGGCAGATGAGGGAGGAAATGTCCCCCGGCAACCTCTGCCCACGTGAGCTCATCTAAAAGCTGTGTTTTCATATTCAGTGTCTGTGAATTTATAAGGCCTGGGAGCTGCGATTTCTCTGGTACTGGGGAACTCTGCTGTCAATGCACCTGGCCCCAGAGCCAGCAGCAGGCCTCGAACCGGTCACTCCCTGCCTGGCTCCTGGGCCAGCCATTCAGCCATGCCACAGTTTTCTTCTGCTACTACAGAAGAGCTCACCGGACTGCTCAGATGCAGTTACTGTTTATGGGTCTGACTGGTTAGAAAGCCTTGACTATTTTCTATTAGAAACAAAATTTAAAAATCAATTTAACTTTTACTTAGAAAAAAGGCATTTCTTTTAAAGTAAGAGGTATTAATGATCAAGACATGAGTGGGGAAATTTCAGAGGTGCCCGCCACTGTGTTAAAACTGCTGGTAACACACACTTGGGACACTCATCTGTGGTGACTGGGGCAGATGTCACGCCAGGCTTTGGTTTCATGTGAGAGATGCCCGAGGATCCAGGGGGCAGCCACCTTTGGCACAGACCCTGACTTCAAGAGGCCGGCAATCTAAGGGGGCAGGGAGAGGGAGGACAAGCACACAAATGCCTCCAGCATGAGGCGGGGCAAGCAGTGGGCCCCCAGAGGAGGGCTGTAAGCAATGCTGAATGGAACAGGGCTCCAGGTCTTCTATGCCAAGTGCAGTGAGAAACTTTCATCTAGCTCAGGAAAGGTGCAAGGGCTGGGCCTTCAGAAGAGAGGGCAGGATAGAGAAAGGGTGATTCAGGACAGTCTGGTGACTAAGGCCAGGGAATAGGGAGGTGGGCACCAGACCGTGAAGGGCCTCGAATGATGGTGTGCGAGGAGGCTACAGGGATTCACTGCAGTGTTGAGTCGACAGGTAACTGACTGCAGCAATCCCTGGGAAGCAAGGTGGAGGAGAGCCTAGAGAGGGGTCAAGGACGACTCAGGAGTCAAGGTAAGAAGAGACGAGGTCTGGGGACAAATGAGGCCCACTCGGTATGTCCAAGAGATTTAGAGAGATCAACCCCACGCACCAGAAAACGAAGCATCTTTATCCTTCTCAGGCATGGTGTCTGTTTCAGCAAAATGAAAGGAGGAGAGAGACTAATGATGCCACTCAACAGGTGGCCAGTGACCTTAACAGGTGGACACAACATGGTTGCAAGAGAGAAGCCACACAATCACTCAAGAAACACGAGTCCCACTAATCAGAGAAACAAAGACTGCTGGGACTGACAGAGGCCTTGGTGTCCCCTACCTATTTTACAGATGAGGAAACTGAGGCCCTGAGAAGGGCATGACTTCTCCAAAGTCACCAGCAACTTCCTGGGAAAGCCATTAAGTGCCCTGACCTCCACCACACCAGGCTGACCCCAAGAACCACACACACAACACTAAATCTTGGTTGAACATATTTTCTCATCTCTGGCCATCTTCAAATGAATGGCTAACTTAAGAGAAGACAGGGACAGTTTGTAAAGTCTTTTCAAGGATGCCTTGTTTCCCTCCCAAGTCTTCTCTCAAGAGGACACCAGTCACAATCAGCTGCCCCTACGAATTTGTTCCGCTGGGTCGGAATCAGCCAGCCCTGCCCAGGTTCAAGGGAGTGACACTGACCAAAGGAGAGAAGGATCTGGTTCCCATCATGATTTAGATAAACGACCAGAATTCTGGACCTCGCCTGTGGCAGCAATGGGGATTCTACCCGCTCACTTCCATCTCCATTCTCGATCCTGTGACTGTTTCTCTGGAGGCCAAGCCAGGGGAAGGAGAGGAGGGTCTGCAGCCACCGTCCCCCCATCCACTTGGACCACGGTGCCAAAGCATCCCTGACAAAGAACGGGCCACACGGAGAGGACACAAAGGAAGAAGGCTGATGGAAGTCACTGTTGCGACACTGTTAACCCTCCAAGCCCAGTCATTGTCTGGACTTTCATCTCATTTTTAAACACTTAGCACACAGACACTGCCTCTGTCTTGCTGTCCTGCTCAAAATGAAAGCGCGGAGCCTCCGGGGCCGACTCTAAAGTTGGGCTGGACGCTTAGCAAAGAGCAAACCTGGAACACAAAACACAAAGGCAAGGGGCTGCAGAGGCCGTGGGCGTCTCCTTCTAGCCCTGACCTGCAGCCGTGACCGGGGTTAAACAACCCCTCACTTAACCTCTGGCAGACGCACCAGAGGCGACTGGGGTGTGGTTCTCCCCCTGGAGGCCTGCGGGTCAGCGGCCCACTCCAACCCCCTGCAGGGAGGCCAGAAGTCCACCCCTCCCCCATGTCCCAGCTCCTTATTTCTCCCGAGCCTACTGGGCATCATCGAGTCATGCTATTGATCCCACCCTGCCCATCAAGCCCAGACTCTCACAGAACCAACCTGTTTAAACTTCCCTCTAATTCTGTCCAGATCTTCGTGAAGCTGGGCATAAGTGGGGTCAGCATAAGGGAATTTCTGCATCATCCCAAGGAGTGAGTCTAGCATCCTTCTCTTCTTACTACAAAGTCGGAGAACACAGGACGTGAGGGCCTCCCGAGTCAGCCCCCCCCAGAACGGCTAACACTGATGAGCAGGCCACACGTCTGTCCCCGTCACGGTCACACTGGCAGAGTGCTGGCCTCTTCCTTCCTTGAACTGATCCCCCAGGCGACACTCGGCCAGTCTGTTCTGTGAGCACAGGCGGCCACAGAACTGACTGGCAGAAGGATCTCTGAAAGGAGTCGTTATCGCTATGTATCGGGCCTGGGCGGGAGGCGGTGCTCCCAAGATGCCGCAGTCCTCGGATTTTGCAGCATCAGGCTCAGAACCTGCCATCTTGGCGGCTGCACTCTGGGGTCAAGAACAGGCAATTCTCGGAACCGGCAAGCTCTGGCCTCCTTCTGAGAGAGGACCCACCAAACGTTGCCAGGCTGAGCAAAGGTCCTCTGACCATGGCTGTGGGAAATGTTAATAAATCTATATCTGGGGGAGGAAGGAACTGGAGACATTCCAGAAACTGCGCGACATCTCATTGGAGCCTCCAACTACTGAGCTAAACGACGCCCACAGTAATGGCTCTCCCCATGTTACAGATGAGGAAACAGAGGCTCGAGAGGCTGGTGGCCTGCTGCATAGTGGGGGCATGGGTCTCGCCAACCCCAAGCCTGGGGCTCCGCCGATGGGGGAGGCTGCAGAGAATGCCCAGTGCAGGCTCCGCCATAAGGCTCCAAACGACACTGGGAAGTGGCCCCCGGGGCCACAGTCTCTTTCAACAACACTCTGTGGTTGTACTAAGAGCCTCCCCCAACAAGCCTGGGGGCAGGCAGTCACCACGTGTGGACGTGGGATTTTTCTCAGTGTAAGAAGCCCCCTCCCTTGATGAGGACTGGCCGCTGCTCTGCACCTGGGAGGTGAAGGCTCCAGAGCTATCCGGGCTAATCCCGACTCTAAAGCCAGTTCTCTCTCTCCCCTACAATGCTCAGCCCTATTTGACGTGTCGGGCCTGGGAACTGACCCTGGTCTCAGGAGGTCAAGTCTAGGCTCTTCCCGTGACAGGGCCGGGCCCTCAAATGTCATCTCTTCTTAGAGAGAGGATGGCCCATGTTACTGCCACTCAGTGGGCTGGGAGGAGCTGAGTGACACAGTCGGCTGACCCGCGGAAGGAGGACAGAGGGCCCAGTGGCCAAGCCAGAGGGAGGCTCTAGGATGGTGGCTGGAAGTGTCCTCAAAGCGGATACAAGCTACAAGAAAAGCTTGTGGCTGTGCTCCCCTGGCTCTCTCTCCTCAGGGATGGAGAGGATGGCAAGGGAGATCACAACAGGATGCTAACCCCACTGCTCCGCCCCCCTCTCTAGCAGTGACATGGTGGGGACAGTGGCACCTGTCTGACAGGGTCTGCATGTGCTTGGGAGCCACCGAACCCCAACCCTGATCCTGACTCAAAGCACACGCACCATCACCTGGCTGCCTCTGAATTACACACCCAAGAGCCACGGCGAGTGTCAGACCTTCCAGCCAGGCTGCAGACCCTCTGACCAGCCCTACCTCCCTGCCCTCGAAAGCATCTCTGGGTCGGCCAGGGATCCAGACACTCGAAATCCTGCGTACAACATAGAGTCTGCCACACCGATGAAGGGGGAAGGAGCTCCCCCGCTCCCCTGGCCACGTGCTCTGCCACGGCTGCCTCCCAACCCAAAGCACCATCCTGAGCACAACTCTGTTCTGGCTCAACCCATGGCTCTTCTGCTTCAGTGTTTTCTAAAGTACAGAACGAATGTTTTGGCCTCGAGGACTTTGTAGAATAAAATACGTAAGAACAGAAATCAAGTCTGGAAGCAGGAAAGCCCCTCAAAGTCAAAAAGCAGAAAGTTGGGCATGGGGAGAAGCCAGGGGAAAACCCAGAAATCAGCCTAGTTACCAGAACCTGACTCCCTCTTTTCCTCCTTCTTTTTCCTCCCTCCTTCAGTGCACTGATGCCTTCGGGGGGTGATGGTGATGATGCCCAGTTTACCCCAGAATGCCAACTTTCTCCTCTTAACTCCACAGGAACCAGCCCACGGGGCTACTGTGCACCCTACCTGTCTTTCTCAGTTGTGCACTCAGAAAGCAGACATTTCCATGTAAATGCAAAACCCTGGTAGCACCCAATCTGTGGATTTAAGATAAAGTTGAGAATAGAAATGAGGAAAAGTGCTCGACTTAAATCACCACCGTCTTCCTTAAAAGAAAAGCTTCCCTTCCCCTTCTGAAGACTCAGACTAGGGGACAACAGCTTGATGCCACTTCAGGGGAGCAAGAGCCTTAGGCCGCCCATGCCGTGGACTGTGCTACTGGGGGCCAGTCACCGGTAAGTGGGACTTGACCAGGAAAAGAGAAAGTTGGAAGAAAAATGCTAGACTCTGCCCACATTTCCACCTTTTCTACATAAGGGCAGAGGGAGCATAAGTCCCTGGCGTGGTGCCCAGCTTCCAGCAGCAGGAGACCCTCCATCACCATCACCCATGTGACTTGAAACACCCTCCCTCCTTAGCCCCTGGCCCTGCTCCTCTGGCCGATCTAAACCAATAATGTTTTCCCAGTGAAATGACGTCTCTGGATCAGACCCTGCCCCCTGGCCTTCCCTCTAAAATGCTGGCCAAGATGCCCCTCCCCCCCGCGTCTTACTTACCTCAGACCCAACGTTAGCGCCCTGGCTCACTCCATATCGTCTCCCCTCAGTCAGACCCAGAGAGCTGCCTTCGGCGTAACCTTCCTGATAGGCTTCACCGTGATACCTGGGACAGAGAAAACACATAACAAAGTAAACCTGAAGAAGGGCTGGTCACGGGACAAGCACACACGGGAACAGCAGGTCTTTGCAAGTGAAGACGAAAGTCAAGATGACGAAGAATAAAGAAGGACATTCCAGAACATGCCCGAAGAAGAAGCAGTGACCGCTGTCCCGGACCCCAACGGAAGGGGCCGTGGAGACGCCCTCTCTGAACAACAGCAGGAGCACATCTGGTCAGTGAGAAGGAGAGAGGGTGGGGTCTGAGCCCTGTTCTGTGGGCAGGGGGTGGAATCCTCCACAGCCATGGCAGAAAGAGGGAGCCTGCAAAGGCCCCCGGTTCCAGCCAAGCCGCCGTCCACCATTCACTGGGGTGCGCTTTCACCTCTTCAACCCTCAGTAATGAGATCTATAAAATGGGCATAGTTAAGAACTACACTGCGTGACTCACAGTACGGCTGTGTCTGGGCGTGGGTGAGAGGCACAGGTTAAGTGCTCACGCTTGGCTGCATTTCACGCTAATCCCTAGGGATACAGACACAAAAAGGCAGAGTCGGGGAGATGCCGCCCAAGGGGGCGCAGTGACTGGCCCCACCTTTCCTGCGGCAATGGCGGTCCTCACTGAATCGTGGCTCCAGCCAAGGGGGCAGTAAGACGGCAGGGCAGGGACGAGGCCTCTGGAGGTGGCGCGCGTCCTATCGCCAGACCTTACAAAGAGCAGGGACCAGCCTGGGGTTAGTGGGAATGAAGTGTTTTCTGTTATCTGGATCCTCCAGGGATTCTTACTATGCCTATTTTACAGATGGGGAAGCTGAGGCACCTAGAAGTGACTGGAGCGACCAGTCACACAGTCAAGGAAGGGTCTGAACTCAGGTCTCCCTGACTCCAAGCCCAGCAGCTCTGGAAGATTCATAAAGAAAGGCATCGATATTTGTATTTGGTGACAAGTCGCCGGCATAAAGGAGATGACACAGAGCCTCCTGCAGTAAGGGTGGAGAACATGGGGAGGGGGAAGGCCAAACCTTTCAAACCTTGTCCAGGCTCTAGCAGAGGGCTTAAAAAAATGTGGCCAATACTTAAGTAAGGGTTGAAGCAAGACCCTCTGGGGATCCAGAGACCAAATAAGCCAGCAGCTGCCCCTCCAGGATGCCCCGAGGTGCAGACTTCTGCCTCCCACACCTGTGGACAGGCACCTGGCCGTCCAGAGCCCAGCAGCCTGCTTTGGCTGTGGCAAACCTCGAAACAAAAACAAGGACAGAATGACTCTCCGTCCTCAGATTCTTCAGAGAGTCAAAAAGGAAAGAAGGAGGGCTTAAGACGGGAGGGAACGGATCTAAAATCACAGTTGTTAAACTCTTTAGAAACATTAATTCCTGGCTGCAGAGGGGGCCCCTGTCAGCTCTAAATCTAGAGCCTGTGAAAGGTGAGCACCTGCCCCCACTTCAGAGATGGCCAGACCTCAGAAAGAACAGGCCCATCTCGGCCCTGCTACACGCTCACTCCTAGAGGGAAGCTTCAGCCAAATCAGCTGCAGGTGAGAAAATTCACGGGTTTTCCTTGGAAAGAGAAATAAAGGAGTCAGCCTCCTCACAGCCCGTTTCATAGCATGTGGGGCAGAACTGACATCTCCTTCTGCCAGGCTGGCCCAGCTTTCCCGGAGGCTTCACTCACACTTGCTAGCTGCGTGACCCAACGTCTGCAGGGGCTGGGGGTGGGGGGGAGGCTCCCTAGACTTGATACACCCTCTCCGTCCCCTCCTTCTTCCAGAGGACCCCTCCCCAAACGAGCTTTAGTGGTTCCACTCCTGAGCCTGAATCACCTCAGCTCTTACCTCCTGAGTCACGAAGATAGTGGCAATGACATCAAGCCTGGAACATGGAGGCAGAGGGCTTGACTGGAAGTGGGCCCAGCGGAGGCTGGGGAAATGTGGGAAAAGAATGAGTAGGGTCCAAGAGATGCCGCCTGCCTGGAAATCTGACCGAGCACACTCCTCTGCCGAGAGTCAGAAAGCCCAGGATTTCGGCATTCAAGGACATTTAAAAAAATCTAACCGCTGGGCTCAATTCTGGCGAGGTGGAGTCTCTGGCCTCGGACGCTGCAGACAAGAACCCTCCTACCGCCGTGGTCAGCCACGGATGAAGACAGCCGCCCCACGTTTCCAGCAGAAGCTTCACTGACAGAAGCAATGGCCCCGAGGGGGTCTGCTAGGCGGAGACAGCAGCTCAAATGGAGATGATGAGGAGGGAGCGAGCACACGAGGGGGGGGGGGGGCTGGGCCTGGGCGCCCGACAATGGCAGCACCCCTGGAGCAGGGGAGACACCGGGGAGAAGGAGGGGCCGGCGGGGAGGACGGACCCATTAGCCAGAGAGGCAGGTAGAGGAGCAGGGGAAGGGGAGCAGAAAGCATTCCTGCAGGCCTACTGTGTGCACAGAGGTCTCTCAGGCGGAGGAGAAGCGACTGGCCCAGGGTCACGCAGCTAGCACCGTCTGCGGCTGGGTCTGGACTCGGTCCCCCGACCCTAGGGGAGGGGCTGGGAAGCCAAGACTGCTTTCATAGTAACAGACGAAGCCGCCTCCCCTCCGGCAGACCCCCCGCGGGGCGACGGAGCGGACGGACACGGAGGGCGGGGCAGTGCGGCCGCGATGGACACAGGGCGGGGCGGGGCTCTCCAGCCCCCCCCCGCAGGTGGGCACGCCCACAAAGCCCGCCTCGCTCGGACCCGCCCCCTCTTCACACCTCTCTGGGGGTCTCCTGGGCCGCCTCCCCCAGAAGGAAGCCCCAGTCCAAGGCAGGATTCGCACCCGGCGCCCTGAGGCCCCTTCCTCGGTCGAGGGGTGTCCCAGGAAGTGGGGCCGGATCCCAGACCCCAAGGAAGAGGCCCCGGCGTCCGTAAACAGGGCGGGGGCTCCTTGGGGTCCCTCAGCCCCAGGACTATGGGTCTGAATGACCCTGGGACCACCCTCCCCTAGAAAAGGTAACAGAGAGGCGGCGCAGGGGAAACTGAGGCAGGGCGGCAGAGCCAGGGCCCCGTCCCCTCCCACCGCAGGGCCCAGCCGCGCACCCACCTCTCCTCTGCCATCACGATGGCGTCGAACAGGTCCGGGGATCGGTTCATGGCCCAGTTCGGTTAGGGCCCGCCCGGCGTCGCCTCCTCTTCCTCCAGTTCCAGGCCGAGCCGGCCGCGCACAGGCCGCTGGGACGGAGAGTACGGCAAGCTGGAGGGCCCGTGCGGTGGAGCCCCTGGCGCATGCTCAGTGGACCCTGGGCCCTCCCTCTCCCCTGTTTACATTCAATGGAACATTCCACGTGTCCTCGGAGAGAGACCTGACTGGCCGCAACCACTGAGCATGGGGGGGGGAAACGACGTTAGGGGGCGTGGACGGGGGGGGCGAGAGGAGGAGCCAAGGTTCTACTTCCCTGCTCTGGGTCCGTCCCTGGCTGTATCCCGGCGGCGCAAACAAATAGCGCTTAATCCGTGCTCGTGGATGGAGTGGTAAAACACACACACACACACACACACACACACACACACACACACACACACACACACACACACACACACACACACACACACACACACACACACCCCCCCCGCAGGAAAGCCGAGTCTGCGGCTCCCAAATCTGAGGACCGGGGCGCCCATCCTCTGCCTCGGTTTCCCCGCTTAGCTCAGTGCACGGCACATAATCGGGGCTTAATAGATGCTTCCCATGTCCCCATCCTAGGCTTCTTTGCGTCCCTAGAGGTCTGGTTTCATGACATTCAAAGCCTTCTGTCCACGGACGGCCCTAGAACGGGGAACGATCCCCGCAAAGGTGGAGAGCCCCTAAACTCCTAGGACTCTGAAGTCCCAGGCTCTCAGACCTAGATCTGGGGGAACCCTGCAGGTCATCTAGTCCAACCCCCCACCCCCATGTCACAGATGAGAAAACTGAGGTCCAGAGAGGGTGAGGGACTTGCCTGAGGTCACCCCTTTAGGGAGTCACCCCGACACTCCTCCCTGCCTGGTTAGTCTCAAGGTCCAGGCCCCCGGCCCCCAATCCCCGCCCCTCCATTTCGGCTCAATTTCATTTCTTCCCGGCTGTAAAGTGAGGGAATTGGACCCGATCTCTGGCCCGTTGTGAAGCCTGGCTGGATTTCTGACACTTGACCCACTTGCCATTTCTGGCATGAGCCACTGGGGGGACCTCTAGGCCTGGTGGAGATTTTACTCGGGCTTGTCGCCCAATTAATTAAACTCAGGAAAGACCTTGGGCTTTACGGCCCGAGCTCTTAAGCCTTTTGGGGGTCCTGGACCGCTTGGACCGTCAGTCTGGTGAATGTTTTTAAATGTGTAAAATAAAGAAGATAGAATTACAAGAGAAACTACTTCTCTTTAAACTCTGTAATACAATTCCTTGTTAAAAAACAAAGTTCCCCCAGTTAAGAATCCTTGGTTTACATAGCCCAGCCCTACTGGTTTGTTGTTTTGATTTGGTTTGGGGCTTTTAGAGGCGAGGAAGATGAGGCCCAGAGAGGAGAGACTTGCCCAGGTAAGGATCCAACCTAGAACCCAAAGTCTCCTGACCCTCACCCAGGACAAAGCACCTTATTTTATCTTTTCAGGAAGGCCATGAGCTTTCCATCGTGGGATACAAGCCGTCGCTCAACAGGGAAACACTAGGGATTCCTGCATGGGGTTGGACGGGATGGAGAACTCACAGTCCTTCCTAACTCGGAGATTCTACTAATCCTCTTTTCTAGACTTGTCTTCCACTGTTCCCCTCCATGCTTGCAGTGGTCACCGAAAAGGGGAACAATTATTTACTGCTCACAGAACTGTTTCCCATGCTCTTTCCCTCTGGGTATTTAATGCCTATATTTCTCCCCATGCCAAAGATAGGTCATGTAAACCATGAGGTAAAAACAAAATACATACAGGAGGAATTGGAGCTACTTAACAGAGGGAAGACATTGGCATTAAGACTGAGGCAGGAAGGCTATTTGCAGAAGGTGGGACTTTAGCTGAGACTTGAAAGGGAAAGGCCAGAGAAACTGGATTCAGGAGATGGAGTGTGTGAGGAACACTTAGGAGTCAAGTGTTGAAGAGTAAGGGGGATAGAGATGTAAGAAGATTGGAAACATAGGAGAGAATTAAGTGATGAAGGGCTTTGAATGCCAAACTGAGGATTTTGTATTTGGAGGTGGTAGGGAGCCCATGGAGTTTATTAAGTAGGAGGCTGACATGGTCAGAGAAATGCTTAGGAAGGCTGGTTTGAGATGGCATGGAGAGACTTGTGGCAGGAGACGTATGCAGAGAGAGCCAGGGAAGAGTGAGAAACTGAGGGTGGTAGGGTGTGACCCTGAAGGGCTTAGAGGCTAGTAACAGCAAAGTCTGGAAGAGGGGAAGGTTTGGAGAGAAGGAGTAAGTTCAGTTTAGAAGGTTTGCTAGTCACCCAGTTTGGGAGGTCCACTGGGCAGTTGAAATGGCAGCATGAGGGTCCACAGTGGTGAGAGCTGAATAAGGAGATCTGAGAATCATCATCACAGAGATGATAATTGAATCCATGGGAACTGATGAGATTGCCAAGTGGCACAGTCCAGAGGGAGAAGAGAAGAGACTCTATGCAACACCCATGGGAGCAGGTGTGAGAGGGAAGAAGATTGGTCAGAACAGCACCAGACAGGTAGAACCGGGAAGGAGGTGAGACCAGAGCATTGGGAGGAGAGAGTGGTGGCCAGGGCCCAAGGCTGCAGAGGAGAATCAGGGCGAGGAAAGGGACATTGGATCTGGCACCAAGAGATCTTTGGTAGTGCTGGAGAGGGGAGTTTCCGTCGAATGATGAGGTCAGAAACCAAAATGTAGAGAATTGAGAAGAGTGAGTGGGAAGGAAGTGGAGGCTTCCATGGTAGACGACCTTCTGGAGGAGTTTTCAGCACAAAGGGGTGAAATAATTTATTATTTCTTCATTTTTAGTATTCATTTTCTTGGGAGTTCCGAATTCTCTTCCTCCCTCCAACCCCTCCTCCACCCACTGAGAAGCCAAGCAATAGGATATCTATATATCCTATATAAGGAATATATTCCTTATATATAATATAATTATACTATTCTATATTAATAAATATATGTATTGAAAATGATGTTATATACAATATAAAGAATATAAGGACATTCACTTATACATATGAAATCATACAAAGCAGATTTCCATGTTAGCACAGCACCCAAAAAGCCAGAAAAATAAAGAAAATGATACTTCCGTGTGCCCTCAGGCTCCATCAGCCATGCTGCCTCCTCATAAATCCTTCAGAGCTGTCTGGGGTCAGTGTCTAGATCTGAGCCGCCAATCTTCCCCAATTGATCTTTGTGACGAGGGTGCTGTTATTGTGTACCTTGTCCTTGGGGGTTCTGCTCACTGTACTGGCAGCAAACATTTATTAAGCACCTACTGTGTGCAGGCACTGAATCCTAGGGATACAAATGAAAACAAAGCCAGTCCCTGTCCCCAGGGAGTTTACAGTCTACTGGGGGAAGTCGGCATACAAAAGCAAATTGAGAGAGGGATTGGGGGGTGGGAACTTGATGGAGCGCCTCAGAAAAGATCCCAAACAGCGTCATTGTGGGACTTGGGGAGAAAAGCTGGCCCTGCGCTCCCCTCTTTCAATAGAGGCCTCGGAGTCCGTGGCCTCCAGGCTGAGAGTCCAGTCTGGGGCAGAGGGGTCTGATGGTAGGCAGAGTCCCTCTCGCAGTGTAAGGAGATTTCCCAGGGACGTTTCATGGGGAAGGAAGAAGCGCCCAATCGGGGAGCTGTCCTCCAGGAATAGGAAGGAGGCCCGGGGTGAGAGGTGGGAGGGAGGATTTGGTTTTCATCTTTGAGGCTGGGGGAGACATGAGCATGTTCGTAGGCAGTAAGGGAGAAAGCAGACAGACCAGGAGAGACGGAAGGCGAGTGAGAGTGGGGGTGACAGGAGCATTGAGGGGTTTACCTTGCCAAGGACATGGTCAGCTCTTCATGGGAGGCGAGGGACAAGGGGGAGACTCAAAGCTGGCTACATTGGGCATTTGGGTCCCAAGCTTTCAAGCACCAAATCCTTTCAAGGCTAAGGATTACTGAAAGCGCACTCACCACTAGAGGGAACCCGGAGCGCAGAAATGTCTGTCCTGTTTGGCCCGCTTCACTTTTTTTCAACTGCTCTTTCATGCCTTCCTGACAACCACAGGGAGGCATCAGGGCTCAATAAAAGAACCTGACGGTGCCCAAATCCCATATCCCTTCCCACCACCTTCCTCCCCAGGGCCTGAGGGGGGGTTCCTCTGCCCTGCTCTGAAGACCAAAAGACCATCAGCAGGGACACTATGGCAGCTCAGGCAGAGAGCTCCCTCCCTGGAAAGTGAGATGGAGGAAACTCCAGTGTCCATCTCCCCGTTTGATGTTTGACGGAGGAGGAAACAAAGAGGGATGCCCATTTGTCCAGTGGGGGCATGACTCGGCCAACATCAAGGCTAGCCCTCATTCCGCCTTGTCCTGACCCGTGACCCTGCAGGACCCTTTCTCCGTGATCTCAGCAAGCTCACCAATCCCACCAAAGTGGGGAGGGGGCCGGTTAATTAAATCCTGACCAATTTAATCATTGCCTTTATTTATCCTAGAGACTTTAAGTATCTTTTGAAACATTCAAGAGATAAGAAAACAGACTGTCTGAACTGGAAGAGACCTCAGAACATGGAATGTGGGAGGCAAGGTCCTCAGAACATAGAACATGCTTGATCTGTACTTAGAATATCAGAGCAGGGAGTGCTGAGGTTTAGAGGTGTAAGGGTGCTGGGATCCCAAAATCATGACACGCAGGTCCTGCCTGAATGAATTCGACCCAAACCTTCTTTCAGCCAAAGACTAGGTTTATTAAAGATCCACCATATTGGCCAGACTCTCAAGGAATCGCTAATGCAAGTGGCCCAGATCTTAAGAATCGGAGCCCCTTAATGAAGGTCAGATGGAGCTTATATACAGAAAGACTGTGGGAGGGATCTAGGGGTAGCCAAGTAGTCTGGGGTGAATGCCAGGGACCTGTACCACCTGGCCAAGGGAGAATGGAGCCTAGATGGGTGGGAAGTGGCCAGGGGCCATTGGGAGGTAAGACAATGGAGGCCTAAGCTAGGTTAAGGGTAACAGAGAATTGGGAGATTGGGCATACAGGTGATAATGAAGGCCAGTTGAGAGGATTATA